CATTCATCTAATTAATGAATTATGGTCAGAGTGCATCTTTACTTTGAGCCAATAGCAAGTAACAGATTTAGCAGCAGTAAAATCAAAACAGAACAGAACTACAGCAACAACGATACATGGAATGGTATTTATTAAACTACACATAAAACATCAATTAGAACGACAGTAAATCACAGATATATGAGCAATTCTTGAAATATTATACCCCACTTCATTGCCTGGGTAGCGAGATGGGATGCTCAACCTTCTCAGTTACATGGACATAAATTTTATATTGTCAAGAGTACGCCACGCAGACACTGCTCTGGGGGTTTACACACACATGACACTAGTAAAGTTTCTTATCACAAAAGAGGAGCGGCTGGCCAAACAGTTAGGATGCTGGGATCTCATGCGGGAGACCCAGTTCAAATTCTTGGCAAGATTGTGGACTTTTTCCGTCGAGGACAATAAAATCTTGACCTGACCTGCAGTCTGTGGCGAATCACTAGCCACGCAGCCTTAAAACATCAGATTCAAAAGCCCCCTGCCTACACCACAACGGTGATCAATTCGTGCAGTAATTACAGTATTACTTATCACATAAACTGCACATCATTAAAAAACAAATCCGCTAAAGAATGCCCTTCTCATCACAGCCTGTTGAAGAGACAATCTGTTGTCAATTCAGCTTCCTTTGTATGCTCAGGGTGTTGCTTGTGTCTCAGGTCCCTTGCTGGGATGATCTCAACCTGACTCAACATTGAGTAATCAGTCCTTCCATTTTTGTTCTGTCTAATCCAACATGGTCAAAGTATTTTAGTTTCCAAGACATGATACAGTTTTTCTTACATTTTTCAGATACTGTAGAATATCACTGTACTTTTTTTTAATCCCTGGTTTTCTAAGAATGTGTAGGTACCTGGCAACATTCTCTTTGTAGAGCTCCATATAGAAATGCCTGTGACTACTCCACTCAAACATGTGGAAATCACTGTATTATATTTACATTTGTAGGACAAGACAGAATGTTCCGTTAGGATGTGAAGGAATGTAAACATATAAAAATAAATTTAAAAAAATAAGTTACCCTTACCACCCAAAGTAGAAAAGTGTTATTTTAAAACCTTTAGATAAAGTTTCCAGTGACTCTATTATTCCCTCTGCCCACTCACTGTCAACCTCTCTTTTGATTCCAACGTGGTCAGTACACCACAGCTTGTGGCACACAGTTTAAAGCCAGGTTTATGGTGGGAACAGACAAATGTATAGCACTGCTACCACCCATACCTCAGATTTTATCACAACTATTAACTTCTCCTCTAGTCCTGGTCTGCCTTTCGGTGGCACACTTTGAAGAGGCACCGGGTGCAAGCTTTGGTATGTTCTACATGTATGCTGGTATTTATGGCCTCGGATTTACAGTTATGTAAAACTCAGTGAGTACTGAGCCTTCTTGATGAGGCAGTCTAACTGCACTGCTAACTCTGTCCTCCCCATGTGTGTGTTTTTTTTCCACACTGTTTCTACCTTGATTACAACTTGTGTTTTCAGGCCCAGAAAGAGAGTGACTTCCCTTTCCATTCATAAATTGCTGTGTCACAGGGCTTGTCTTGTGTTACCAAGCTTGGTGACCAGCCAACAAACTACAGCATTTTACTAGTTGTTATCGGGCGGCGATATCGTGTGTTCCATATTACAGGATGTGAGTGATTTTAACATGCAGAACTGTAAGTAGGCTGCATTCTCTCATAAGACACAGCTGCAATCTCTCCTGGGGTGTGGTTAGGGCCAGTTCTGTATGATTTGGGATCTTTAAAAGCGCTCACACACTGTAATATAGAACAAGCGATATCACCCGTTGGTGACAACTAGTAAAATGCTGCGTCTTGTTGACCGGTCACTAGGCTCGACACCCCTGCAACACAGCAATTTATTAATGGAAAGGGAAGTCACTCTCTTTCTGGGCCTGAAAACGTGATATGTACCCTACCTTGTTTTATTCTTTCCCTGCCAGTAAAGTATATTTCTTCTGTGATAGTATTAAGCCATTTCTGAGAATGTGAATGAAGTCCAATAAAGTACCAGAAAGACGCACAAAAACCAGACATTCCATTCAAGAGAATATTTTCAGAAAGATTACAGGAGCAGGAATCAAGCGACAGACATTTCACGATCATGTGAACATAATGTAGAATGAATTTGATCCCCACAGAGTGACAAAAATGGCTCAAAATATAATCGATCAATCCATCAATTTATTCTCCCTGAGCTACTATCTACAAGTTTCCTGTAGCATCCTGAGATTTTTTTAAACTTAAGACGGCAGACCAACAAAGTAGATCCCAGATACCCTGTTCAACCTCCACATAAGTTACAATTAGGGAATCCTAGCCAGGTGTCACCTGCAATCCTCTGTGGGTAAGGACATCAAACCATGATTTTGATGTCTGGCTTTCATGACAGTGGCTTATAACAGTGATTCCCCAAACAGCTAAGACCTGTAGATCCCTCTAGTTTTCAAAGGTCTGTTGATTCCCAAAATTTTTAAGTTACACTGAAAAATAAAATTGTAAAAATGATTTCAGTCTGAGGTTAGGTTGTTTTTCTTTTTTTGGGGGGGGGGGGGGGGGGGGGGTGTCCCCCACAGACTACAAGATGTGAAACCCTGGTTTAGAGTACTCATGTGCATCGTCGGCAATGGGTTAATTCAACCTCTTGTCCCTGGTAACAGTACAAAAATCCCACTGTTAAAAAGACACTGTTACACTAATAACTTCTCAAGACTTCTGAAGCCATGCTTGCCACTCTGCACGCAACATACTTGCCTCTACCTTTCTTACCGCGCTCTGTGAGTAGGTTAAAATTACGACATGTGCGGATGGATGGATCTCAAGCCAGCAGTAGGTTGCAGTGACCGCCTCTACCTCCCATTCTCAAACTAGGCGTTATGGTATTCAGGCATGAAAGCAGCCAATAGCATCAAAACTACACATCTCCTAAACAGGTTACAAGACCGGAAAAGTGACATATACAGGGAACTAGATCCAACCAGAGGTGACCAGTCTTGTAACTTCTCGGGTGAAAGTGATAACAGTAAAGGCAGCCTATACATTGACAATGCCACAGGGATATGAACATGCAGGTCTTCACTCACTACAGTAAACAATAGTTCCCTTTCTCATTATCTTTCAATCCCAGACAATTCACAGAAAAAATACAAAAATGAAATATTTTCAACAACTGAGCAAAATGTTGTGATTCTCTGTGTAAACACAAAAACTCTTGAATAATATAAAGGAAATAAAATAAAAATTAACATTAGAGGAAATGTTTTTAAAATTAAAAAAAAAATATATATATATATATATATTAATAGGGGACACACAACAATTGCATTAAAAGGAAGGATCTCGTTTGACAAATTGATGTGTCTCATTTCACAGACTGCAGAATCAACAATGTTCTTGTTGTTGGCAATAGAAAAGACAGCCTTGATCACAGACCTGAAGGACACTATCACTACATACAAACACAAACAATGTGTTACATACAACAACAATGACTAAGATTGCCAAAAACACATGATATTCATGAAAAAGATGTACATCAAACATAAGGGTCAATCAACTGTTCAGTCAGCATTCACAACATACATAGATTATCAGTTCTCAGAGATCATGGGGTGTGTTTAAGCACAACGTAAGATAAACTGTTAATGTATTGTTGTACTAACCATCCCAACCACTCAGCTGTAGACAATGAGATCATGTGTCAATGATCAGAACACTGAACCTTCGCAACCATTCAGCTGTAGATATTGAGATCATGTGATGTGTCTAACTACAACATAAGATAAACTGTTAATGTACTGACAAACTTATCATCCCAATCAACCAGCTGGAGACAATGAGATGTGTCTGGTCAAAACACAATAAAACTGTCAATGATGGGAACACTGAACCATCCCAACCAATCAGCTGTAGACAATGAGATCATATGATGTGTCTAGCCACAACACAACAGAACGGCCAATGACCGGAACATTGAACCATCCCAACCAATCAGCTGTAGACAATAAGATCACGTGGTGTCTAACCACAATACAGAGAAACTATCAATGATTAACATCTCTACCCATCCTAACCCTCATTATTCGTGCCCACTAATGTCATGAGAGGGAGGAGACAGAAGAAAGGAAAGATGTGTTTATGTTGGCTACATTTTCAATTTATTACATGGACATTGCAGCACATTCCTAATTTATACTGCGTTGTTGGATTCATTTTTATTTGTCATCTTCAATGCTAGTGTAGATAACCACCCACATGCCGATGAACTTGAGCCGTTTTGGAGAGGTGGAAAGACACCAGTTCCCTCAAATACAAACAAGGAAAAATAAATACCACAGCCTCTTCCCTTTTTTTTTTTTTGGCAATGACTGTCAGTCTTACATTCTGTGATTTCAACAATATCTTTGAGTAAATCAACAACAAACACTGGTCATACACAAAAGACATGTATAATTTGCATTCTGGTATAATATATAATTGTTCTATTACTCATTTTATATGTATTCATATTATTTAATTTACATAACTACAATGAGTCTCCTTAACTATGTGACAGCCCTTATTTTCCACCCTGTTAAAACTTCAACGTACTTTATTTGAAACAATGCCGAGCCACTATAAGAGACATGCAGACATACTTGAAACTTCTGTGACAACTAACTACATCAGGACTTTTCAACAGGTGACCCACGGGCTAAATCTGGCCTGTGGATCACCTGCCAATTGTACTGTATTAGTATTTTTTTTCAATGCTGGCCTGTGACGACCCCCACTTTCCAACATTTTGGCCTCTGAACAAACTTAGTTGAACAGTCCTGAACTACATCATCTGCTTTTCCCGACGGTACCCTGCTATAAATGTGCTAGCTACTATATTCACAGAAGAAGAAAAACAATGTCACAAGGAAAAGACCCTGCCCCCTGCCCAACAGACATGGGAAATGTCAACTAAAATTTGACATTTTCATGTAAACGGATGTTAATGTCAAAAAGAACTTCATTGATGGTTTTCAGGGCAGCGGGCTTGTTTTTCCTGAACATGGTTTCAATGTCCTTCATCTTCTGGTTGGTCAGCAGCTGAATCTGTGCTTCATTATCACTCTTCTTTCCCAGCATCTGATGTAGTAGACAACATAAAATGTCAATCATACTGGCCATGTTCTAAGAAACAAACAATTCTATGGAAGATTCATTATTGTGTCCTTTTTTCCTTGCTAATCAATAATTACACCTATAGCCAGTTAACTTCCTTCTACATTTACCCTTAAAATGGCGCTGACCCATTGTAATTTACAGCCAGGCTGTGATATCTGTGCATTTCAGCCAACACATCCAATTTCAGCAAAGCCCCAATTAGCAACCATTAATGACATGTTTGTCAGCAGACATTGCAACCCAACTGTAGACCCACAACTTAACTGTCTTTTCTAGGGCAAATGCAAAATTTAAAGTGACACCAAGATATGGACAAACATCAGCCACTGCCAGTCCTCTCTGTGGAGATTTCTTTCTCTTCTTAGCATTCACTAGCTGTAAACTCCAGCAGAAAGTTCTGGTTGTTAGACTTTGGTCTTGAATCAAAACTTGAGTTTTGTGTGCACATCCGTTTTTATAGATCTGGCTTACTCAAATACAGACTGTTGGTTCCTTGTCCCTCAGGCAGATGCACTCCTACTTTGAAGGAAACCACTATTAGTTGCCTCCACAACATGCTTGTTGAAAAAAAGGAGAGGGGGGGGGGGTACAGTGGGTCTATTCTTTGTTCTCCAAAATGGGGCCCCGGAACCAGAGAGAACTGTGGAGACAGTATGTCGTGTGTGTATGCATGCAATGAAAACTGACCCTTAACAAACAACAATATCAACTAAACTTAACCCTTCTGCTGGACAAAACAAATTTCTTCTTCTTGGTGGCCTAGAAAAGAACAAATGCATCCATACTTCAAGAGCTGAATATTGAAGAGGGTTGGCTAGTAAAGACAATAAAACAAAGAAAATTGAAATATTTTGGTCACTTGAAACGTCATGGAAGTCTAGAGAGAACAATAATGGAGGGGTATATGCCTGGGAGGAGAGGAAGAGGAAGGCCAAGGAGAAGATGGGTGCAGGATGTGGCAGATGATCTCCAGATGGGTGTATCAGACGCAGGACATCTTATTCAGGATAGGAAGGTTTTCCGGAGGGTTGTTATGGCAGCGAGGTTCCGCGAGGGACATGCTACTGAATGAATGAATGGTGGCCATAGACCATAAACTCTGCTGGAAAGTTCTGGGTGTTCGTCTATTCTGGACTTTGGTCTTGCTTCAGAAATTATGCTCTGCATGCAGATCCTTTTTACAGTCAGACTTACTGATGATATGCAGACTGTTGGTTCCTTCCCTCTCACTGTGACTTCAAAGGCAAAACCCATAATTAGACACCTTTTTATAACATGCTTGTTAGGAGGACAGGGGATCTATTCTTTTGTTTCTCCAACATGCGGCCCTTGGGTGAGCACAGGGCCAGAGCCCTATGTGTCAGCTCAGCATTTATGGAAGCTTCCTTGGATGGCAAGGAATGACCATGATCTGCCCTTGTCGGCCACCCTGCCTACATGCGGCTTCCCTGGGTGAGGTCTCCAGGACCAACCCCTATAGATAACGTTGACAAAGGGGACAGCACACAAATTAGGCCACATGTCACTCACTGTCCCATGAAACTATCTGGGAAGTTAACCCAGTAAACACAAATGCTTGATGGAGTCGGATGTATCGGCTAACAGGCGCAAATGTCGCAGCTCTGCTGTTAACAGGCACAACGCACCTACGCCACTCGGACGCACGAAAAGAAGAAACCGTCCATCTTGGGAATCTCTGATAAACATCAACTGCACAGTTTTGAAAATGTTACCACTCACATTAATAGTGATAAAAAAAAAAAAAAAAGTTATATTACCTCTTCTTCCATCCTCTTGTAATGGCTCTCTTTTTCAGCCTTGAATTTAGCAATTTCCACTTCAGCTTCTTTCTTGGCTGTCTTCAGCTTCAGTGCTTTACCTGGCAACATCAACCGGATTCAAGTTCTAAACAGTTTGTTTCTTAGTAAATCTTTACACACTCACACACATATGGCCCTAAGATGCCCCTAATCTGGCATCTCTGTCCATTACAAATACCCATGAAAGCCATATTATTGCAATGGCCTGTTTCTGGCAAGCCTAGTTAATGGTGCTGGTTCTGTTTGCTCCTGTTAGAAACAAGTTTTGATTATATTTAGTACAAACACAATTCAGGGTTGGCTGGGGTGGGGAGGGTTCTGGTTGGTCGTTATCAAACATAAATGACTTTTTAAAGTCATAATTTGCCTTTAGTCTTAGTGGCTGCATAATCATTTGGATTGTTTTTTAAGTGTAGGGGAGGGGGGAAGAGGGGACAGTAATCAATTTAATTCTCCACTCCATTCATGTTAACTGATTACCCCCTTCAAGTATGTTTATTTTTCTGTATGACGTACAAAAATAAAACGGTGTAGCAGTCAGATACTCGCGAAACTGGAAGATCATTGTTTTGGGTCCTGGCAAAGCCAGACTTTTTTTTTATCAAAAGTGACCATGGCTACCAAGTCCACCCAGACTTGATTGGGTACCAAGAAAGTCCTGGGAAATATAGGTGGCCAGCGTGATGCTGACCACATCTCCCACCAAGTGCCGACCTACAAAATATAGTCTAGAAATATATGTGCCCAAAGGTGCAGAAAAAGGCCCTTAATTAAAGGACTTTTTGGCTATCCTCCAAATAATGGGCATTAAAGATGGCGACCGCAAAATATCCTTACGAGCCTCAATCACGTGTCACTTAATTTGCGGATTTCCGCCGACTACTGCCACCGCCAAGAGTCCCCCACGCAGCTCACGCGAAGTGGATTGGGGCTAAACTAGATGGCTAGGACTCTTGCCCTCTTTAATGCCCGTTATTCAGAGGATAGCCGACGATTTTTTTATGCATTCAGGTGTATTAGACTAACATGGCTAGACCTATATTTTATTGACCAATCGGCACTTGGCGGGTAAGTGGTCAGCATTACTCCAGCCACCTTTTTGACCTCAATTTAAATATCTAACTACTTGATCACTGCCTTTTGTAGCAAATTAGTACAGACAATAATTCAGTGTAATATAAATATGGCAACATCTTCATGTGTGTAACAAAAATTACAATCTTCTGATACAGTATGAAGTTTCTTGGCGTTTACTAGCCGTAAATTCTGGCAGAAAATCCTGGTTGTTCACCCACTTTTTAACTTGTTCTTGACTTTTAATTTTGTATGCATATCCATTTCACATATCTGTCTTATTTGTATGCAGACTGCTGGTTCCTTGCCTCTCAAGCGGAGGCGTTTTGCCTTCAAAGGAAAGAACCTAAGTCACCTTTTACTGCATGCCTCTGTTGAAAGGGGGGGGGGGTGTAGTTCTATCCCTCTCTCTAAGCCCCAAAATCAGGCCTAGGAACCCAGACGCAGACAAGAATATGATCAAATAGGGAGATAAACAGCCTTTTTAAAAATCCAACTAATTCACATATTCTTCAGGATTGAGACCTTGGTGTTCAATGCTGCAGATATCACTCACTTCCATTTATATCTCTCTTGAATTGGTGACTCTAAGCGTTTATATGTTTGCATGTATGTTATCTCTCCTCCACTTTGTGGTCTGTACCCATTCAACTCATTTGTGTAGTTATTGTCTAATGCTAACACACATAAAAGTAATTTGTGTAAATACAAATATTAATAGCAGATTAAACATTAAATCTTTTGTTTTCAATACAGTTAGAGTTTAACTTTATGTCCCAGACAGGCATTTTTAAAGTTAACTCATATCCTATACATGATAATGAAGAAATGGAGAGTCCAACAGAACATACAGGGAATATAAATTATACTGTAAAACTAATCTGGAGTTATTACCGAAAGTATTTCATGATCCTCACTGGTGCTATAGAGCCTGTGCACTGTACTGAGCTTCTTCTGACTCAGACTTTAGTTAGAAGAAGAACAGAGCACTTATGGGTTACTACCCATGTGCCATGATGTTGATCCATTGTTCAAACCTCAAACCTGCTTCAAACTAATTCAACAGGGTAATCAGAGATTCTGGAAGATGATCAACACTGAGAGAAACACAGGCAAACTTTCAATCAGGTTGCAGCTGGTCCTATAAGCAAGGCAACTCTTTGTAGGCTACTCTACTAAGGAAGGAGACGAGCATGTGTGGGAATGTCTCAAGTGCAGGGATTAGTTATGTTGGCTATCCTCCGAATAACAGGCACAAAAGATGGTGGCCGCAAAATATCCTTATGAGCCTCAGTCACGTGACAACTGCGCACTTCCGGCGACTAAATTTGTGGTTTTCCGGCGACCACCGCCACAAGTCCCCCACGCCGTGGCTGTGGTCGGGGGAAAAGCGCAATTGACACGTGACTGAGGCTCAAAAGGATATTTTGCGGCTGTCACCTTTTGTGCCCGTTATTCGGAGGATAGCCGTTATGTCCATTCTTGATTCATTCATTTTCCAGACATCTGTTACCTAAAGTAAAACTTGGTCTAAGAACAGGTTCAAATAATATTAGTATAAGGGACAACATGAGTTGCCACAGACACAGAATGAGAATGGGTTTAAGTACCCGTGGGATGGGAATAAGAAGTTGAGAATATCGCATCAATTATCATGTAAAGAATAAACCAGTTATTTATCGCATTTGTAAGTTATTTGGTACTGACAGATTTTTAAAAAATCTTTGATGGAACAATATAATCATTCTTAGCACCATTTTCACGTCAACTGGTTCAGTAAGAAGAAATGGGTGCCAAATCTTTCTGGCGGTGGGGGGAGCTGCAACGGTAGAGGCAGAAGATGCTTGTTACACATTTCAATCCCGTGACCTGCAAACTTCACATGACATACATCCGATCTCAAATCCGCCGATTGATTGTGGTTTGGTTAATTTTTTATGTACTTTATAACTTTTTTGATTAAATAAATGTTAATGATTATACGTACGCTTTCGAGCTTCACCAACCATCTCGGATGCTTTCTTTTCAGCAATCAAAAGCTGTTGAATCCCCTCGGTTTTCTGAGCCATGTTGAAGATTTCAAAGAGTTGGTCTGTGAGAAACAAATCGACGCCTACTTTCTTTCCTCTTGACGGTGGTTATCTGGCAGACGTACGGGCCGGAAGTGGTCCGTCGTGTGTTGCCGGTTAAGACAAAATAAGTCCTAAACAATAAGGTTGAATCCGTCTTGTGACAAGGCTAAACAAAAGCACCCCACAAACCGCTTTGATATTTAGATGAAGCGGAAACAGAACAAGAATGAATTAGCGTCGTAGGATAGGATTCGAGTTAAGAGTATATTATGGGTTTTCTGCCTAGGTAATGCGGGTGTGGGGGCAAAGAGCAAACTTATAAGATTGACAGCAAACTACGTTACGATATATTGGACCTAGTCGAGGTTCTGTGTGAATAGTAAGGTGGGACACATAGTATCCGGCTATAAGGGACTGCGAGAAGTGAGCAGATGGTCTGAATGCCATACAGTAATCAGTGCGCAAGGGAAAAGATGGCAGAATCAGCTTGCACAAATCAGTATAGTCACTCTTTGTTAGTCTTATAGAATTGGACATATAATGTATTAATGAGCACTCATAGAAAGGAATAGAATTATAGGACACACTATACAACAAAACAATCGAAAGCTATAGTTACAATGCCAGGAATCAAACCTGTCACCTCCACATTGCTAGTGCGCCTGGCCATGGAAACAAGTGTACTAAGAACATGAACAACTAGGCACCCCCAACAAGTGTCTTTATTGGTCATGCTTGAAATCCACAACTAAGGAATACGGACATAAGTAATCTCAATCCATTTAAATGGCACCATGGGTTACAGAAATGTACATTAACCAAGCATATGCATATTTATATGGCTTTAAAGAAGGGCATAAGGCAAGCGTGCGAATATATTGACTGCAGTGGTTTTCATTTTGTAATAATTCTATCTTTCACTTGTTCATTAGCAATTAAAAAAAAAAAAATTCTGTGGTTTACAATTAAACGATCTGCTGAGATGAATAAAAAAAGAGACAAGTGAAACTGATGAACACATTAAAACACAATCTTCCTGAAAACCAGTGGAGTGCTTGGCGGGAAAGAGGTAGGGGGGTATAAAGGCAGGAAAGCAAGAGACAAACAGTGATATAAGTGTTAAGATAACAAGCGAAAGAATAATTGTGTGTGTGTTATTATGAAGAGAGAGCTGATGTAAGAAATAAACAGAGAAATGAAATATTTTGAATGCATAAAAGACAAAAAAATTTCAAAACACACTGGAGACTGTATTTCCCAACCCATTATCACTCCTGCTTGTGTGGGTTCCGAGACCCTATTATAGGGAAAACAAAAATAGACCCACTGCCTACCCAAAAGCATGTCGTAAGAGTCGACTAATTTGGAGCTTCCTTCGAAGTCAGAGTGCATCTGTCTGAGAGGCATGGAACCAGCAGTCTGCTTACAAGTGAGTCAGGTCTGTCAAATTGATGCACACGCAACATTCAGGTTCTGGAACAGGACTGCAGTCCAGAAGTGGATGAACAACCAGAACTTTTTGCCAGAAATTACAGCTGGTGAACGTGAAGAAGAAGAAGAAGAAGAAGAAGAAGAAGGTTATCACTCCCTTGGCCTGCCTTGTTTACTCCAAAGAAAAGGTAACACCAGCACATTTGAAACCACTCATGCTGCAGATGCTGTAAATAAGAAGAGCAGTGCTTGATCTCTGCTTGTAGGAGCTTTCCTTCTAGACCATCTGCCAACGAAGGCTCAATGCCTGGTCTGCCCCGCCATAACATAAAGTTTTTGCATTTTGTTTTTCCTTTCTAGGATAAGGCGCTCCAGATAAGCTTCTCTGCCTGAAGCCATTGGCAAACTGCGAGATGTGAGGTCCAATGTATGCTGCCAAACTGTCAGCATTAACAGAACACCGGTTTTACTGACTACTGTTTCACTTTATCTCAGCCATACTTGACCAAGAAGCTTCTGAACTTGAGTGGTACAGAAACATTATTACAATACCAGGATTAAGAGGAAGGATATAATTGGCATTACGGTGGTACCTTGGCTCATAAATTGTTGTTGTTGTTTGACTCCAGTCGTGAATTGAAACATTCTCAAGCCGAAACAATTTTCCCACTGAAATCAATTAATCCGATCCTCCACCCTAGAAACATTGTTTTTGAATTTTGTGTGTGTGTGTGTGGATCTATGGGGGACAAAAGTATGCAGATCTAATATAAAAAATATACAGTATAAAATGTGTGGAAGACAGTTACTGGCACAAGTAGATGGTAGAGGCGGGAGAGGATGACCACGCCTTTGAATGAGAGTCCCATTCCATTCTAACGCCAGGCAACTGTGCAGATTTTTTTTTTCTTGTATCCTGGGAAGTAGTTCGATTGCTGGTTCGGTGTCAAGAATAATTTGTCTTCTTCTTCTAACACTTGAGACCTTTGCTTCCTTAACATTCACTCCTTTAGCTAGATCAACCATGTTTATGCAACTTTATTCTTTAAGATTGTCAGGACACTAGATTTAACAATTTTGTATTTTTGGTGAGATCAGAAACATAAACATTATTCTCATGTTTAGTTCTTTTTTCCTCTTTCCTTTCTACTGTAATACGCTTTTATTTCTTTACACCACTGTCACTGACACTTTTTACTCTTGTAGCATCAATAATAATGGTTAATTTAGTGCAACAACAATATTACAAGAATTTTATCAAGAACAACGCAACAACAATGTTCACAGAACGCAAACCTTAGTTCAACTGATGCTGTTTGTTAGCCAAAAACATAGTGCCACAGTCATGTTTCTGTGTTCGTGAGCCGAGGCACTGTTTTCTGGTTGAGTCAAATTCTGTTAGAAAATTGTGTACGTAGGCCAATTTGTTTCATTACTAGATTTTTGTGTGACCCAAGGTACCAATGTCTATTTTGTGTTTTAAAAAAAAAACATAGAAGAAACATGGCTCCTAAGCATAATGTCTCCAAAATTGAATATTCTTTGACTCGAAGAAGCTCAGCACAGTAAACTCAGGCTCTGTAGCACCGGTAAGGATCCTGCAATACTTTGGGTAGATTTGTAACTCAAAATTTTTCCCGGACAGCGCCGTTAGGTTACTCTTTTCAATTTCCAACTGCCAAGGGATTTTTTACATGCGCAACAATGCACACGGGCGTCCGATCTCACAACCCAGAGATCAGGGTAAATTACTAAAGTCGAAGTTTGACTTCCTAGGATTTTGCCTGGTATCCATTTATGGCTTGGTCGGCCTGGGAGCCAAACTTTTTTATTTTGAAGGGAGATAATCCGACTTAGCGCAAACTCAGAACCTTTTGGCCAGCAGGTGGAGACTATCTGCTATGCCACAGCGGCTTCTAATACAAACCTTGGTACCAGAAATTAAGGACACCCTGGGTATGACATGCATAAAGAATGGAAACCGTTAGAGTTATCCTTATCACCCCTTTGAGGATGCAGTTTTTGGTTATTTGAAGCCCTACTCTGGTATTTGCTAGGGGCTGCAATATAGCCCAGCCATAAATGTCTAATATGGCTTAATGCAGTTGCTGGGACCTCTCCACGGGTGATCCTCATCCACATGGTGGCACTTTGTGTCATCGGGTGTTTATCGCTTGTGTGATGTCCTGGTGGGGTAAAAGAAGATAGATAGTTTGTCAGAGAATGTAGTCTTTTTGGTTGCCTAGCTTCTTTACATTCTGTTCTATATTTTTCATGTTACTTATATCATTTAGCCACATCTGCCTGGCATGGTTTTTTCTTACTTCTTCAATTTTTTATTGAACCATTTGTATGTTTATGGTGGACACACCAAAACATCCTTCTGCAATCATTTAAATTACAATTATTCTTAAAGAAAAACATGAAAGATAAAAATAAAAATACAAAGAAAGATATGACAGACAAAAGAAAGAAAAACATAGCAGAAAAAAATTTCATATTTAATTATTATAGACACAATAATACAAAGAAAAACATGGCAAACAAACATAATAATGCAAGGAAAACAGACAAAAATACAAATACAAAAAAAAAAGACAGGACAGACAAATAGAAAAAAAAACACAAAAAAAATATGGCAGACACTGAAACAAACAAAATACAAGGGAAAAGTAACACGAAGAAACAGACTGAAACTGGTTAAATGTGTTTAATATTCACATGACATGATAGTGCATTGACTTAACCAGCCAGCATCTCTCAAGTATACAAACAGTAGTCTAGAAATAACCCAACAAATGTTCATTAAAAGAACTCTTCCCTATTAGAGTCAAACATGGTCCCTGCCCAGAGCTTAAATGACTCGTGACTTGGGAGATGATGAAAAAACTGGCACTACAATTACATATATGGATTGGGTTCCCCTGCAGCCGTCATAGAATCAGCTGTTTGTACATATTTATTGAATTCTGCATGTAAAACATTTCTTCTTGAGTGCTCCACAGCGTTGTTGTGAGGGGAAAAGGAATAGACCCACTTACCCCCAACAAGCATGCCGTAAAAGTCGACTCATTAGGGGTATTTTCTCTGAAGTCAGAGTGCAAATGCTTGAGAGGCAAGGAACCAACAGCATGCATACTAGTATGCAAGATCTGTCAAATGTATGTGCACGCAAAACTCAAATTCTGGAACAAGGGAACAAGACTTAAGTCCAGAAGTGGATGAACAACCAGAACTTTTCACTGACAAGATATATACCAAAGCGGACTTATAGCAAGGTACCACTTATGCTGGTTTGTTTGATTTTGCATTCTGTAGGAAGTCACACACCATGCCTTGATCGATCAGTCTTTATTTTTTAACAACAAACACACAAATAATATATTGCACAATTTACTGAGGGCATATTTCGCTGTATCTTATCAGGTGCACACTACAGAAACAACTGATTAAAATGCAGCAAATAAATGAATCCTTCTAACTGAAACACAAAATACACTACATTCACAAGTAACTGCCTGTTACACCAGGGCAACCACAAGTTGATGACCATGTCCATAATTTTT